ACAGAGCCTGATATGGGGCTCAAACTCATGAACCGTGAGATCATGACCCGAAATCAAGAGTCAGATGCCCAACCACTGAGCCACCTCAGCACCCTAGCATTTAAATTACACATAAGGAATACTGTAGAGGCAGTTACTGGCTAATCTTTTTATGCAAGTCTAGAAATCTGCTTGTACATTGGCATAGTCAAGGGCATGAAGCAATTAGTGAAGGCAGATAAAGCATTGTTGATGCTAATGTGGGCTTTGAACTCAATTTTCACAAAAGTAGAATTATGAAAATAGAATGAAATTTGGTTAAAAGGAAATAGATATTGGTGAATTCTAGCAAAATGTTCCATAGTGAAAAGAAGGTTGCAAATTGAATTAGGGAAATAAATGTTAGACACCTGTCTTTGGACCCAGAGAGAAGTTAATACGTGCATAGTAGATAGAAAGTGAATCAATGAAGTCATCAACTATAGATTCCAAATGTACAGCACATTGACTTTTGATGCCTTTTTTTTTTCTAGTCTACTGTGAAACTAAAAGTATCACATGTTTTTGGTCCAAAATTATATAATACATCCTGGAAGATGATTAAATTTATAAATCCCAGTTTCCTGGGATAGTTATTACAGAGGAAGGCACTCAACAAAGGCTTTTAGAGATAATATAGTAAGGCATTCAGAGACAGGAAAATTCCCCTAAATTTTCATGACGTCATAAGAATAAACATCTGTCCAAAAATGTTATAGCCTATTGCTCTAAAATACATTGTTGATTTGCTACTAAAATATTTTCCATTCCACAAATCTGATGTGAACTTGATTTTTAAATTCCATCATAACTCACTTGGCAGGAGAGGACCTGGGAATATTCTATAGCTCCTCTGGTTGAATGGCTTCAGAAGACAGAGAAGTAATTCTTTCATCAGTGGTTTTCTTCCCTTAGTATGTTCTGTTTCTAATTTGGAACTCACCATAATCTGCCTCATTTGGAAATCCTTTCCAAATCATTTTGACATGCTGCATCCATCAATGTTCAATTATAAGCTTCTTTCTCATATTGTTAATATAATCTGCTTCTCCTTTCCCCAAATTTTAGTCCCTGTTTTTCAGATTTCCATGACTGATGTATAGTGATATTTGAAATTTTGAATTTACTCTGCATTAGATGTAATAATAATATAATACTTGGTTTCTGTATACATAGCAATATATATTGATTTATTCACAAGCTAGAACAAAGCACAAAATTGCTACCTTCTTAAAAAGATGGATGTGTATGCTTAATACACAAAGCAGAATAACTTTGTGTGTCCTCTGAGGGTTTTTTAAAAGTCCTAAATTTTAGAGTCTATTTTTGAAGCTTTTAGAATTTTTTTAAAGACCATTTATGTATAGATGGTAGTTACTATGGACAGATAGTTATTTTATTATCAAATCTTGACCATTGTATAATATATTTAAGTTTATCCACTCCATTTATTTCCTCATATGGAAGTGCTTTTAGACTACACCTGACAGTAGCCATCAAGATCCATCACAGACACTACAATCCATAAGTCATTGCTTTGCAGTCAGACCATAAGCTTTGTAAAAAATTTGGATTGTAAAAAACTGTGTGTGTGTGTGTGTGTGTGTGTGTGTGTGTGTGTGTGTGTGTATTCCTTTTCTGGAACCAAAATTTTTGAGTCTGGAACTTCTGTCTGCAAATTCAGACTCAGCCCTCTCAAGTTATCTGGAAACCACATATTGAGGTAGATAAAAATTTTGCTCAAATGAAGTTTTTGAAATGCTACATAGCTGAATTTCTAGAAAGCATCTAGAAATTCAATTACCTAGTTCCAGACTGGATTACTGCTGTTTTCTCAAAGATGCACTTTATGGTCTCCTGCTTTCTTAAATTCCACGCAAGAAACACAATCTCTGTACATTTTATGAATTCCATAAATGTTTATTGAAAGCCTGTTGTGTAGGTACTTAATAAGGAAGTATTTTCCCTAGACTCAATGACCTAGTTAGTTAAGATGTGCATCAGTTACTATAATATCCTGAGGGAAAAGATTTAATAGAAGAGGCTTTATAGGTAAGTCCATTCTGTGTGCATCTACTGACCACAGGAGCTGCAATAGTGGGTAGGTGACTTACCTTTTGTTTTTATATCTCACAAATGCACATTAGAAGTAATCAACCTGATCTTAAAAATGTGGAATGTGAGAGAGGTATAGGCCATAAACAAAATCTGTGACAGACCCAAGGTTTGGACTCAGATATTCCTGACTCCATAGCTGAGATGCTTCACATTTAATCATTGTCTAAGTACCGAGCGATTTGCTATGTGCATTTTATAGATTGTACCGTTTTATTTGACATGATTTACATGTGACATAATTGAAACACAGAATGTTTAATACCTTTCCTGGTTACTGACTGCTAGTAAAGTCATCTCAAATCCAGCTGTCTATGTTCTTTCTACTAAACCACACAGCCTTCTTAAATTGGAATGCTAAATACAGTTTCAGATGCCCTGGGACATGGAGCACATGGAAAACCTTATATAGCAGAGATTCTAGAATATGACACCTGAAAAATGACCCTTATACTGCTTGATACTGCTTGATATGTATATATACATATATATGTAAATATATATTTTTATAATATATATTATAAATATAACATGTTAAATATAAATATAAAATGTAAATATAAAATATATAAAATGTAGTCATA